GGGAATCTCAGACAAAAATTCCTGAGGATTTTGGCCATGAAATCCCGGGAATTTCAGACCAAAAGCCCTCGTAGAGCAGCCAAGGTTTGCGGATTCGTTTGCCCGGAGTCGAGTCCGTGGCCAAAGCCATGAGGCCGGCATTGCCCTCCCCCAAAATCCTGGGAAAAAATAAAAAAATAAAATCACAATTATGAGAAAAATCCCTGGAAAAAAATCCCGAAATCGCAGCGAAAATCGCTCGTAAATCGTCCCAAAAATTCCGTTTTTCTGTCTCCAGAATCGCTGCTAAATTTGCTTCTAAATTCGCAATTCCGCCCCGAAAATTCGGATTTTTCCTGAGCCTCCCCAAGGGAATCTCAGGCAGAAATTCCTGAGGGTTTTGGCCATGAAATTCTGGCAATTTCAGACAAAAATTCCTGAGTATTTTGGCCATGAAATCCTGGGAATCTCAGGAAGAAATTCCCGAAGATTTTGAGTCTGAAATCTCAGGAATCTCAGACAAAAATTCCTGAGGATTTTAGCCATGAAACCCCGGGAATCTCAGGCAAAAATTCCTGAGGATTTTGGTCCTGAAATCCTGGAAATCTCAGAGAAAAATTCCTGAGGGTTTTGAGTCTGAAATCCTGGGAATCTCAAACAAAAATTCCTGAGGATTTTGGCCATGAAATCCTGGGAATTTCAGACAAAAATTCCTGAGGATTTTGGCCATGAAATCCAGGGAATCTCAGAGAAATTCCTGAGAATTTTGGTCATGAAATCCTGAGAATTTCAGGCAGAAATTCCCGAGGATTTTGACCCCGAACCCCGAGGAATTTCCGTGTGAACTCCAGGAATCCTAACCAGAAAAATCCTGGAATTTTAGCCATAAAAATCCCGTTATTTTTCCCACGAACTCCAAATAATTTTGACATTTATCCTCCACGAATACCAGCCCTGAATTCCCAGAATTTTTATGGGAAAATCCAGGAATTCAGGACAAAAATCAGGACTTGGGTGGGACAAAGAGAGGTGAGAAGGTGCTAAAATTCCATTAAATCCATGGAAAACGAAGGGAAATAATTACCAAGGATTTAGGGGGGGTCCAGGAATGGGATCCCCACGACACCAATCCCAAAAATTTGGGGACCCCAGGACACCAATCCCAGGATTTTGGGACCCCCAGGACACCAAACCCAGGAATTTGGGGTCCACAGGACACCGATCCCAAAAATGTGGGGACCCCCAGGACTCAAATCCCAAGGATTTGGGGACCCCCAGGACACCAATCCCAAGAATTTTGGGACTCCCAGAACACCAATCCCAAGGATTTTGGGGTCCCCAGGACACCAATTCCAAGATTTTGGGGTCCCCAGGACACCAATCCCAACAATTTGGAGGGATCCAGGACACTAATCCCAACAATTTGGGGACTCCCAGGACTCAAATCCCAAGGATTTTGGGGTCCCCAGGACACCAATCCAGGGATTTTTTTGGGGGGATCCAGGATTTCGAGACCCCCCAGGACTCCCATTCCAAGGATTTGGGGTCCCCAGGACACCAATCCCAAGAATTTGGGGTTCCCAGGACACCAATCCCAGGATTTTGGGGACCCCCAGGACACCAATCCCAGGATATTGGGGTCCCCAGGACACCAATCCCAAGGATTTTGGGGACCCCCAGGACACCAATCCCAAGAATTTGGGGTCCCCAGGACACCAATCCCAAGGAT